GGCTGAAGAATCGGTAAACCGTATCGAGCGCTTGAAAATAAAGAGACAGAGAGGTAAATGAAAAGAAATATCGAGACACGACGATTGCCCCCGAACGCTGTGTTCCCTCGAGGTACGAACGTTTCAAAAAATTGCCAGGTTCAGGGGCATTCGAGCGGAGCCTCGTATGTACGCACCTTGACCGCGAAACTCAGATCGCAGATCGAAGGCACGCTGTCGCCGCGTTGATCGATGCAGCCGGTCCCGCTGGAAGGGTCATCACACTTCCGGTGTCGGGGCTGCCAAGGGATACCACAGAAATTCTTCGTTTTCCGACGAACGCGCGCACCGGAGTCACGAGGAGTACGAGGTGGTTCGAAACCGCGGTTGGAGCGAGGACCGATCAAGGTCCGCTTCCGTTTCTCACTGAACGCGCGTGAACCAGCGACGGTCGGCGCGTTGCTGGTGCGCGCACTGTGACATGTCAGGTGGCGATTTTCGTCTGCCGGGCGAACGCGCGTACGGCCACGGTTTAAACGAACAGCGGCTTGAACCGACCCGCGCGTGGAAGTAAGTCGGGATCGTCGATCGATGACACCCGGTGGCGGATTAGACACCGTGTAACGTGGTCGGGAGCAGATAGAGAAAGAGAGAGATAGAGAGAGGAGGAGGATCCAGCCGCGGCGAGCGGGAGGCACACGCTCGCGGAGATCAGGGCAGTGGCTTGGCTCGGATCAGACTGAGCCGAGTCAACCGAAGGATCCAAGATATGCCTTTACCTTGCGCGCCTTCCTTTCCTTCACCTTTCCTTCGCCGTGCGCGCCCTCTCCCTTCCGCCTACCAGGGTACCCTGCTCGCTCGCTCTGTTAATCGTGATAGCGCGGACAGTGACGTACCCAGACCAGGGCCTTCGCGCTCTCGAGCGTGCCACGGCGAAATTGCGCCGCGTCACGCGACCCCGAGACCCGCCGAAACATTTTCGACGCGATCGTCCCGCTCGACTTCGTCCCGATTACCCAGCCCCGACAATTTTTTACTACTTTTACCCGCGAATCTCTACGGCCCGTTTTGCCCGAGATCGCTGGTCTTACCGTGTGATCTGCTACTCCCCGATACAAAGGTTTCCAGACTCACGTGCGAGCATCTTCGACTGCTAATAGCGATTCTGGAAAATTATAAAATACGAAATTAAAAAAGGGGATAAAAATTCAAATTTTATTTGTAGAAACCCTTCTACTAGTTCATTATTATTAGTGATTGATTTGTAGGTACATACTGTTCAATCAGGCTGTAATCCGTTATAGATCACAGAAAATGGCGTCCTTGATAACACTGGTCAAGATTAAGGTCACCGAAATTTTCTGCCCTACAATAAATAATTATTAATTAAAAAGTTACATGAATAAAAATTCAAATTCTAAACAGGGGCCCTATTAATGGTTGCAGAAACCCTTCTACTAGTTTATTATTATTAGTGATTGATTTCTAGGTACATACATACTGTTCAATCAGGCTGTAATCCATTATAAATTACAGAAAATGGCGTCCTTGATAACACTGGTCAAGATTAAGGCCACCGAAACTTTCTGCCCTACAATAAATAATTACAATTATTAATTAAAAAGTTACATGAATAAAAATTCAAATCCTAAACAGGAGCCCTATTAATGGATGCAGAAACCCTTCTACTAGTTTATTATTATTATTTAATGATTTCTAGCTACAGACGTACTGTTCAATGAGGCTATAATCCGTTGTAGATTACAGAAAATGGCGTCCTTGATAACACTGGTCAAGATTAAGGTCACCGAAACTTTCTGCCCTATAATAAATAATTACATTTATAATAATTTTATATTTAAATATTCGGTTAAAACTAAAATCAAAAATTACATGCATAAAGAAAAGTTGTTTAGAATTGTTTAGAGTTGTTTAGAAGCATCTAGATAAATTTTTGGTCTACTACAATGGGAAAAAAATTTCATTCAATAATTTCAAATTTTAACTTTCTGCCCTATAATAAATAATTACATTTATAATAATTTTTATATTTAAATATTCGGTTAAAACTAAAATCAACAGTTACATATATAAAGAAAAGTTGTTTAGAGTTGTTTAGAAGCATCTAGATAAATTTTTGGTCTACTACAATGGGAAAAAAATTTCATTCAATAATTTCAAATTTTAATTTTCTGCCCTATAATAAATAATTACATTTATAATAATTTTTATATTTAAATATTCAGTTGAAACTACAATCAACAGTTACATGTATAAAGAATAGTTGTTCAGAATTGCATCCCTGGATTTTGATATCAGAAATGTAGAGAAAAGAAAGTATTATATGTGTAACAATGAGGAAAGAAATTTCATTTATTTTCGTCGAAGCAACGATGGAGAGAAATGTTTTCCCCGGCCAGTCAGAATGATTTAAAAGATAACTTTAAATTTTCATCAGCTTCGCGAACTCGCCGGGAATATGCCTCCCTTTACCCGGTTGAATCTTTTGCATGATAAGTGACGAGTGTCAACTAGATCACGATCACGATGACATTGATAAAGAAGAGCTCCTCGCCGAGGAAAGAAACCTTCGAAGTTTTATTACACTTGCTGCTACGCGAGATGAAACAAAGGTGTGGAAGGAAGGGACTCTTGAACTCTAGCAATTTATTCGAAAGTATTATCGCGGAAACTTCAAATATTATAGTACGGCAGTGAATTTTTCTTACGATCGCTCCGATCTTACTGACTATGAAAAATCTTTTTCTACACTAAAATTAATAAGAATTACTTAAGATCCATCAGAAACCTTACTGTCTATAAAACAATTTACAGACAAAATAAAGGGGCTGTAAATGTTACTTTTACGGTGAAAAATAACCCAAAGAATCGAATTATATAAGAACAATTCAATACTTAGCAATTCTATCAAAATTACATAAAAGTGATAGAAAAATATAAAACATAGTGCATATCATTTAAATGTGCATTATAAAATTTTTTTCTACCCCTAAGCGCATACAACTTCAAACACTTTGCATTTAGAAGTATGAATATTAAAAAATAAATTAACAAATTTTTAGCTTTTCATACTGGTAATTAATAGAGGGGGTGAAGAGGTTGAATCGAATCGCGCGCCTTTTTAACGGCGAATAGCCCAAAGTAACGATACGGCACTGCGTGTAAGCGCAGCATAGCAAAGCGTCTGTCCCTCTTTCAACCGCTACTCACCTTCCTCCGTTGAGGACTTCGGCCTCGTGCCCACCATTCTTCCTAATACTTTGGTACACGCCACGGAGAAAGAAGCCTCGTAAAAACGTGCTGTCCCATAATGTCCATGCAATCAACTTGACTTCCTAAAAATAAAGGGAACGCGCGACAGGATTAAAAGAAGAATAAAGGAATTCCTTCTGAGTCGTCATTCGCTGAACACACGAAGCCACTTTTCTGAATGATACGGCTGCCGGGGGCCCGTCTCAAAGGGGTTTTTATCCCCGAATTACAAGTCACGGGAGAGAGGATAGGGAAACCCGGGCAATTTATTTACGCCGCGGAAAGAAGTAAATTGACACGAGAGCGTCCTATTTAAAACAGGTGTTACTGGCGCGTATTTCGGCGAGTAATCGTGATGCATTTAAACGGCGCCGACGATCTTTCACGCACGCTCCTACCAATTTAGGACTTTGAAAAGGAAAAAAAAAATAGCTTTCATTTAAATGTTCCCGCGAGTTTATTCATATTGCACGTGAAATGTTTTTCTGAACGAGCAAGTAGGTAAAAGATAGACGAGTATCGTTGATTGTAAAGAACGTCTTTTGTTCGTATAACCTCAACGAAAATGTTATTGCAATTGCATACTAAAATGCATGAAAAAGTACCAACAGATCTCAAAAAGAATCCTAGCATGGAAAACTATTTTAGGTTATATTCAAGAAAGAAATAAAGGTTTTACTTACCGATCGCTTCCTATGTTCCACGCTAACAGATAATTCGTGTACATTTTTCGCGCGGGAACTGTTACAAGCAATCATATGGCGCCAAAACTCTACTAAAAGATGTAACACAGTGCCCTCTTTAAATATATTGGGTAATTAGAAACGACTATGTTGATCATCGAGTTTGAAAAAAGACAAAACAACATTACATTAGATAAAACAATAAAATCCCAAGGAATCTAGTACTTTTTTTATGTAGCATTGCCGAACAATGCTCGATTAAATCTATTTACATTGCAAAGGTTACTGTACGTTTTTCTTTCTTCATGCAATGTATTTAGTTTTGTAAAACAATGCAGTATTTATATCGTCTTATTGTCGCGAAGCATAAGAGGTTACTGACGACTGTCAATGTAAGGAGCAGTTTTACCGATTGTTTGTTTTAAACATGGCGTGGGAGGACGATCCTCTAATGATTCCCAGAGCCTCCTCGCAGCGCCTGAGGGAGGTCACCGTGTAGTTTTTCGTCGGTAAAAGTCCGACACTACCCTGTGCCACCCCCCAGACCCGAGTACTTATTTTCCAAAAATAAGAAAAGACCTAAAGTAAATGATTCATTTACTGCCACCTATCCAGTTACTGTCACCCTAAACTTTAAACTTAAACCTTTTACTTAAAATATCGAGTAAACCTTACAAAGCTGTACACCTTACAATTAATATGATAAAAAGGGCAACACTTGATTTTTTCCGTCATTTATTTTGTATGAAATGATAAGAAATTTGAAGTCGACTAGAAAAGTAAACATGATATCCTTACTGACGAAAGAAAATATGAGATACTAAAGAAAATGCTATTATTATAGTAGTCGAGTTATAAACTAATAACAATCATAATACAACGATTGGCCACGTTTCTCATTTAATATTTGGACAAAGAATTACTGTCACGATAGTAGTTGTGAATCAAAACTGTGTGCTACTTCGTCACCCATGTTGTAACTGTGTGCACCTAACCTAACTTTTCATTTGTATATTACATGCACGATATTTGTAGTACTATAATATGTAGTACGTATGTTTTCATTGATACAAACATGGAACACAAAAATGGCGTCAAACTCCATCGATTCATGAATTTGATTTTTGGTTAAGAGGACGGTAATTTGATCTTCCAGCTTGTCAGTGTTTGGTCAGCTGACAGTAATTGAAATGTCAATAACGCGATCAAACGCATTCGACGGGTGACAGTAATAGTTTCCAAAGTATTCTTCTTGAATTATTGATAATAGCGTCAATAATTTCGAAACTTTTACAGGAAATTGGCGACAAATTATACTTTTGATAATAAAAGGATGAAAGTCCATAGACTGGATCATACAAGTAAGAATTAGAAATATTTCTATATTATGGTCCTTGTTCAAAATCAACAAAAATCATTTCCTTCTGTATTTAGTTGCTCGAATAGTAAGACTTTTGGTTCGAATCGCAAAATCTTATGCAGTGTCACGGGCCCTGCTAATTTATTAATAACTCTTCATTTATTTCTAGCGTCAGGATGAGTAATCAAAAGAATTAAACGAAGCAAGTGAAAAGTGTGTTGCGCTGCAAAAGAATTACTGGACTAAAAGGATGATAAACCAAGTATCATTGTGAGTAATGCTAAAGCATAATATTAACAGTTCATTATCAGTCTTTTTCTGTATTAATATATGTTTATTAAATTTAGGGAATGTATATGATAGCAATTATAAAATACCAATTATTTTTTATTGTAGCTAATTGGAAAATAAAATCAAAAAAGAGAAAGTATAGTGACAGAAGGCTCTTTGTACATTGTGAATCTGAAATATTTGAATAAATAAACGAATATTCTACATTATATGGAATGTCTTCGATTTATTTAACCTCGTTAACGAAAACACTATTTCTACGATTTTAATATCAAACATGATTTTAAGATAAATGGAAAGCTCCTATTAGATTTCAAAAATGAATTTTATGTCCAACACTATACAAGTTACATACACGGAAGAAATAAAGGTTTCAATTAGCGTTTACAATTTTGCATCGTGTGCTGCAATGCATTTCATAATTCGCATATTTTCGTGCGTGATCAGGTTTAAATTAACGCACTTCGTTGATAGAGTATATACATATGTACACATTAAATTTAGTTATATTTAATAATGCTGCCCTCTTTCAACCTATCAGATAATTAGAATCGTCTCTGTTGGTAATAAAATTTTTCCAATAAATTAATGTCCTATATAATTCTATAGCAGTCTAGCTTTAAAAACACACACGGAGAAGCAATAAGTTGCAAATATCATTGAAGATAATACGAGATTAGACCGTTTTACTACCATATCCATTCCGTTATGCAAAGCAGTAAAATTCCAAGAAATCTAGTAATTTTTTTCATGACGGTGTCAACCATGCTGGACTAAACTTGTGTGTATTTTGCGAAGGTTACTACGTGTTCTTGTTACTTCATGTTTTGATAGTTTTATGCCGTTGACGTGTGTAGTTTTGTCAGAATATGCAGTGTTTATAACGTCCAGAAAGAGTGTTCAAATACATTTCCCAAAATACCTATAACGACGTGTGTCGACGTGTAAAATGGCGTGGTTCGGTGACGGACTACCTAGCTTGTCGAATTTAAAAGGACAGTTAAAAAATTTTACGGAGGAAGTTTTAACTGAGTGCATTGTAGAAGAAATAGGTGTGTACTATTCCCTCTGAATTATAATATAATCAACGGGAATCGTTATTTGTTGTTCCGGAACGTGGTACGCTCCAGTCGAATTAGACCTGCTGGAGAAAAGTTCCCAACTTGAATTTCATTGCATAATGTTGTCAAAAACAATTTTAAAGAAAACAAAAAAACAATACCCCCGAACACTATTCGCCGTAGAATGAAAATCGTTGTTTTCAAAATTCGTAACAAATAAGTGCAATCGAATGGTCCTTGCCCGGTTACGATGCGATGTAAAATAATAAAGTTATTTCAATTTTTTGCAAAATTGAAAATGTTGTCTTTCTTTAAAAAATCATAGCGTCACCAAATCCAAAAAATAAATCTTACCAGCCGTTTGATATCGTAAAGTAAGTATCTGAGAATATAAAAAAAATTCAATCAATGCTATTGTCACGCTTCTAAGACCGCAACTTTTATTGTTTACAAAAACCGTCACGCTTTGAAAGATCATTGTTCGTAGAACACCAGCAAGATATTGAATTGACACTTGGCAAATGTTTTTATTGTCAGAATACCAATGTTTCACCCAATTTTCAAGATTTAATTTCCATTTTTTTAGAAGTTATTAACGATTTTCAAATTTTCGTATGTCAAAAGACTTTTATTTTTTTCCCAACATAACTGGCGATCCAATAATAACGTAACGAATTTCACTTCATAGATCATTTCAATACGTATAACCGGCTATTTTTATATTTTATTTAGGATCGCTAATTTTCGAGATCTAAAGGATTTTACGAAAGAAAGTATCAATTTTACCACTTGACATTACGTCTAACCGAAGCTGTTGTCACGTTGAAGTGGATCGATGATTTATATCATTTGTGATAATCATTTCGACAATATTATGCAATCAAATTTTGAGATAGGAGGTTTTTTATTCCAATTTTACATATTTCCGTGTCTGCTTTGACTGAACAGGTTACTGGCGACTGTCAATATAAGGATCTGTTGTACCGATCGCGTTCGCGGTAAAAAAGGCGGGAAATTTAAGGCGCGCGTATATAAACTTCGTAACTATGCTTTCGTTGCTTAAATAATTTCTCGATAACTCTTCATTTATTTGTTGTGAATAGATGCACGGTCTAAAGCATTAAACGAAGCGAACGAGAAGTGTGTCGAACTGCAAGAGCTACTAAACTCGAAAGACGCTGAAGTGAGTATAATTTTAATTCTTAAACACAATATATATAGTTTACTAATATTACATTTTATCTGTTTTGACTTTCTTTTTTATTAAAAATATACAGAAATAATTGATAAAATATCAAAATTACTGTTTCTTGTTATAGCACGTTTAATGCAAAATTACATTAATTATTTTCCAATTTAATGCACAGCTTTGATTACGTATATCCTTTAGCCTGTAACAGCTACTCTGTAATATGTGTCTAACTTTATTACAAATTCTTGACACCAACGCAGATGTCGATTACTTTGATAAGGACACAGTTACCCAACGGTTAGAAATTATTTTAACAGATGTTGCTTTCCATAATAAACGGGTTTGAGTGTAATGTAAACACGTTTAACTTATCTCCCGTGACACCAACCCCGAATCCTTTCAACCCTCAGCAAGGAGCGATAGGAGGCTATCCTTCGATGCACGAAACATCGGTCGTCGATTTCGTAAAACGTAACTGTATCGTTCGTCTTATCGTTTCGCTATGAATTTAATAATGAAAGTATCAACAGAGTTTCCGGTTCAAGGAACGGCCATGTTTAATTTTACACGGTTGTTCTTCCTTTATCGAAACGTCGTTTAAAAAATCACTCGAGTATTACGTTTTGTCCCCGATCGACGTATTTCTTTCATAAAATATTACTCGTCGGCACGACCTTCGAATGTGCAATCGTTCCACCGTGCAAAAATAGTTCTGGTGGTGGGGCTGGGGAGGTGGGAGGGTGGGTCATTGAAGTCTGCACGGTCACGTCGTTCCGGTTTGTTATCGCGGACAATTTGTGGAAGCATAAGAGACCGAAAGCGTGCGCCACGTTTGTTCGTGCTTTTGTGGTAAACCTCAGGACCATGCCCCTCCGTTGTTCTAGGAACCGATAGATAGCGATATCAAAGCCTTTGGTCTACATTAACAATGCTTATGCGCCCGGCCCTGTCTCCCTTAGAAACGCATATAACGTTACGGTGTTAATGCACTCGATCCTCATTGACTTTTACCGAAGTAAGGTGTGCCCGTTGAAACCATGGGCATTCGTAAATTGATCGAGGGATTACATCGAAACTGTTTGAAAACAGTCTGGTATTTATGCAGCGAAATAGATTACTGTCGAACCTGTACATTGCGAACCAGGGTTCAAACTTCTTGTAGAATATACCGCTCCATGAGACGTGGTTGTATTTTCATTAAAATGAATTATAACATCGTGCAATATTTAGTGGCAGTATTTCTTAGTAAAAATTAAAATTTAAAGGTCGTTCTAAATAATTAAAAAACTGTGACTGTAGAACGAAACAAATATGGAAGTACCAATACCACGATTTTGGTTAATAAATTGAATATTGGATTTCGGGGCTAGGTCTATTCACCAAAAGTTATTGTAATTGACCTCTGCAACCATAAATAATTTTTTTAGAACGATTTGAAATTTTTCATTATGTCGAAAAATTTCATATATTTTTTGAATTTTTTTCTCGAAAGTGATTAGGATTCCGAGGGTATGTGTATTCACCAAAAATGCATGTAATTAACCCCTGTACCTACATATAATTATTTTAGTATAATTTGAAATTTCTTAATTTCATCTAAAAATTTCAGTACCTATTCGAATTTTTTTCTCGAAAGCGCGTAGGATTTCGAGGGTATGTCTAATGACAAAGAATGATTGTAATTGAGCCCTGTAACTAAATATAATTTTTTTAGTATGATTTGAAATTTTTCAATTTCGTCGAAAAATTTCACACCTTCTTGAATTTTTTTCTCGAAATTGGGTAGGATTTCAGAGATATATGTATTCACCAAAAATGATTGAAATTGAACCCTGCAATCAAAAATAATTTTTTCAGAACGATTTGAAATTTTTTAATTTCGTCTAAAAATTTCAGTACTTACGCGAATTTTTTTCTCGAAATTGGGTAGGATTTCAGAGGTATTTGTATTCACAAAAAATAATTGTAATTGAGTCCTGCAACCAAAAATAATTTTTTTAGTATCATTTGAAATCTGTTAATTTCATCTCAAAATTTCAGTACCTACTCAAATTTTTTTCTCGAAATTGGGTAGGAATTCGAGGGTATGTCAATTCACAAAAAATACTTGTAATTGACCCCTGTAACTAAATATAATTTTTTTAATATGATTTGAAATTTTTAATTTTGTCGAAAAATTTCACACTTTCTGGAATTTTTTTCTCGAAATTAGGTAGGATTTCAGAGATATATGTATTCACCAAAAATGATTGAAATTGAACCCTGCAATCAAAAATAATTTTTTCAGAACGATTTGAAATTTTTCAATTTCGTCTAAAAATTTCAGTACTTACTCGAATTTTTTTCTCGAAATTGCGTAGGACTTCAGAGATATATGTATTCACCAAAAATGATTGAAATTGAGCCCTGCAACCAAAAATAATTTTTTTAGTATGATTTGAAATTTGTTAATTTTATCTGAAAATTTCAGTACCTAATCAAATTTTTTTCTAGAAATTGGGTAGGAATTCGAGGGTATGTCATGTCACCAAAAATACTTGTAATTGATCTCTGTAACTAACTATATTTTTTCAGAATGATTCCAAATTTTTCAATTTCGTCTAAAAATTTGACTACCTACTCGAATTTTTTTCTCGAAAGTGGCTATGAATTTGGGCATATGTCTATTTACCAAAAATGCTTGTGATTAATCCCTGTAACTAAATATAATTTTTTTAATATGATTTGAAATTTTTCAATTTCGTCCAATTTCAGTACCTACTCGAATTTTTTTCTCGAAATTGAGTAGGATTTCGAAGGTATGTATATTCGCCAAAAATGACTGTAATTGAGCCCCGCAACCGAAAATAATTTTTCCAGAACGATTTGAAATTTTTTAATTTAATTGTTAATAACT